TACTATTCTATTGTGGTGGTGAGCGCGCCTACGTCCACGAAGAGAAGGTCGTGGACTGTGGTCGTGAAAACGGCCTGTATATAGCGGATGTTGAGGAGGTGCGCATCCGTTCTGTAGTTGATGCGGATTTACAAGGATAGAGCCCTGCTTCACTCCATTGGCCACTGTGAAGGCTTCAACTACCATCCCGTTTCAGTGCTACGCGCCATCATCACATCATGGAGCTGACGAGCCATGTGGATGATGCGTTCGGGACAGCCGAATTTCTGCATAACTTTCTATAGTTAATGACTATTCACCTTGTGAAAGGCTTTCTTTAGGTCGACGAAGGTAGTACAGTGGCGGTTGCGCACCTCCTGGCACTTCTGCTCTAGATGTCGCGTGGCGAAGAAACTTTAGGAAGTACCACTATGACGAAAAAACTACATTGGCTTTCTTGCAGGAGTCCTTGTTCCAGGGAATTGTTGAGGTGGTTAGGGAAACATGAGAGAAGACTTTCCAGCGATACTGAACAACGAAATTCCTCAGTGTTTGTAAGGGAGCGGGCGGTACCCTTTCTGCTTGTAGAGGTGAACAATTGAGGAGCTTTGAAGCCCCGGCGGAATTGTCAATGGTGCCAGATTTCCTGAAGGAGGGTGGTGATGTTTTTCATAAGTTGGTGGCCACTGTATTTATACAGCTCTGCGGGGATCGCATCTGATCCGGGTGCTTTTCCATTTATGAGTTTCTTCACGGCCCGATGGTTTCCTGAAGAGTGCGTTGGAAATCGAGGTCGACGTTGATCTCCATCTAAGGCAGACAGTCAATGGCGGCATCGGAGATGTTGGGAAGGCGGTTAAGTACGCTTTGGAGGTTCTAAACCCAGCGCTTTAGGATTCGCGTCTCGCCAGTAAGTAGGGTAGTTCCGTCAGTGCTGAGAACAAGACAAGTTCCTTTGGTCGTCATATGAATGGCGCAGTTACCTGAGAGACCTGGTTGGATAAGATACGCTTTAAAAATAAATATTATTATTACAAGCTTCCTATCCTCATACATTAGCTCTTAACCACGCTCTTCACAAGCACTCCATAAGAAAAACCTGCAAGCAACGCCGATCGGTTCCAGAAATGTTGCCCTAGCGGAGATTTCTGTCTCTAACAGTCAGTCAGTCAGTCAGTCAGT